AAGAACTTTACTCTCGTATATGGAAGTCATTAAAGAAGGGTTTTTTATCTAAATATAATAAAGAACCTCAAGAGAAAGATTTTATGGAATTCCCAAAAATTGCTGCCGTTTACTTTTATAGAAAAGTTCTGGGATCAATACGTAAAGAAACTACTATTAAAGAATCAAAACGTGAAGAAAGCTCCAAGAATGCAACGCCTAGCGTTATTACGCGTCATGGATTTCACGGTGAAAAATGTCAAAATATTAATTTACTAATTGATCATCATCGTGAACGTGTTAATAATTTGGTAAAAGATAAAATTGGAGCATCTTCTAGTAATCCTCAAAGATCACGTTTAAAGAGCCTTAATCCTTTCCTTCAAATTATAAATCAAGGCGAAACTTCTAAAAAAGCGAAAAGGCTTTCGGAAGATGGAAATGATAAAGAGAATATTAAAGCAAGGAAGATTAATGAATGATTTATATATATAATATAGATGATATTGCTGATATCAAATTTATAATTGTTAATAAATTTTTTAATAACACGCGTTAAATTTAATAATATAAATTAATCTAAAAATTTCTCTTTAGAACAAGTTAACAAACAAATGAAATTTAATTTAGTCTTATTTTCCTTTACTTTTTTTTTACCAAGCCAATTCTCTAGAATCAGTACCACAACCATCACCCTTTGAAGCTTCACTACCACAACCACCCCCACTTAAACCACCTTCAGGAGCAACAGCAGCCCTAAATAACTTTGAACCATATTTTTGATACATTTCCGTCACACCTCCGGCAGCAATTAATTTTTCTTCCATTAAAGATAATTCAAATTTAAATTCTTTATCACAACAAATTACTTTACGATCTTTTACAACTACTTCAACTTCAGCTCCTTCTTGTGCTAGTGTATAAAATTCTTCATCTTCCACCGTAATACCTAAAAGTGCCATATTTGGCTAAATAAATAAAAAAGAATTAAAATTAATAAAAAATACCAATTCAAAAAAAAAAATAAAACATATTAATATCGTAATTTACCTGATTCCTACTATAAATATAAGCATAACTTTTAGCAATAACAACTTTAATTCCTGCACCCTTTAAAGCTCTAGGAGCTTCCTCTCTACTACTACCACTTCCAAATCCACTACCACCGACAACAATGTTATAACCATCTTTAATTTTTTGTACAAAATCTGGTTTAACATACTGAAATGCGTGGCTACCTAAGTCCTCATCACTTGTACCAGGCATAAATTGTGCTGGTATAATAGCATCAGTATCTACATTATCTTCAAATCTTTGAACTTTTCCTTTTATACTTGAAGAAAATGATGTTGATGGCGGTAGTAAATCTGATATTGATTCTGATGATAATGATGGGTTTGATGGATCATAAAGAATAGGGTTTGGTTCAGAAATTGTAATAGAAATTTTAGGATCAAACCATTGCCCTAAACATTCATTAAATTTCTTTTCATCAATGGCATCGAGCAAGTCTCTTGGATCGCGAATTTCCATTTCAAATGAAGAGGCTGCTACGGTAGCAGCTGAAGCCAAATTACCAATTGCTCCTTTACCCTTTAAAAGTAAAAAAAGATAAATAAAGAGAATAAAGAAATAAAAGATGATATAGTACAAAAGGTGAAACTCAAAGGTATGCATACCATACGATTTCTAAAGTTACGATTTTGACTACTTAGCCAAACTTCACCTTCACCAGCATGATCAGCAGCAACGGCAATACAATACGAACAACCTGGAGCACCAATTTCAAATCCAGCTTGTTCATAAAATTTCAATAATCCCAGTTTTCTCAATTTAGCAATTATAGGTAAACTACCAGGAGTACATTTTCTTATACCATTAAGAGAAGGTCTTAGCCCTTTCTTTAAACCTTGTTCAAGTACTAAACCAGCTAAAATCAAATCTTCTTCAGCAGTTGTACAAGCACCGATAAATACACCATCCAATTTCTTTCCTGCAACTTTTGTAACTGGTACAACATCATCAGGAGAAGGATATAAAGCGACAAGTGAATCAACTTTTGATAGATCGATAACATGAGTTTCAGCATAATGTGCATCGGGGTCTGCACGGAAATATAAAGCCGAGTTTTTATGAGCTGGATTTTTACGTTTTGCAATGAATGCGGCAGTAATCTCATCTCCTTCGAATACACCCGCTATGCCACCAAATTCAGTTGCCATATTTGAAATGGCAAATCTTGCATCACATGAAAGATATCTTAATCCAGGCCCTGTATATTCAACAGCTCTCTCGAAAGCCACAGTGTTACGTTTAAGTTCTCCAAGGACATAAAGAATTGCATCCTTACCACCAATACCAAAAGGTGGTTTATTAATAAATCTAATTTCAACCGTTTCAGGAACTTTAAACCAAGTCTCTCCTGTAACTAGAGGCATAACTACATCTGCAGCTCCTAAGCCCACAGCAAATGCACTAACAGCTCCAGCCGAACAACTATGAGAATCAGCTCCAATAATCATTTGACCCGGTTGAGCTCTTTCACGATAAAATTCTGTATGTAAAATTGTATGATTTGGTTTATAAAAGTCAACAATTTTAGCTTCTTTAGCGAAATTTTCACTTGCTTTAATAAGTCCAGCAGGTTTTGGAAGGTGATTTATTCGAGGATCCACTGTATGATCAATAGCAAGCCAAAATCTATCATTACGATAAATATTTGGCCTTCCCATTATATTAAAGGTTTTTTCCATTCCCTTCCACGTAAGTTCTGAGGCTAATGTCCAATCGACTGAAACGCAAATCATATCTCCAGGTTTAACATGACCGGGTTGTGAAAGACCGATAGCTGCATGAGCGATTGTTTTCTCACAAATAGTCATACCACGTCTACCAGGTGGTTTTTGTAAGAGCAAACCACGATTTGGAATTGATAATGAAATACGATCTTCAGAATTAAGACCTTCCAAGTAACCTTCAAGAACTTCACATACTTTATCACCAACTTCAACAGTAGTTTTATCCCCAGATAAGTCTTTTGTACGATAGCTGAAACCACCAAAATCTTCATCATCCAAAACTTTACGTACAGCATCTTCAACAGCTTTAGCTTCTCTTGGAAGATTTAAAGAATATTTCAACATCAACGCGACACTAAGAATAGTTGCGATAGGATTAACAATTCCTTTTCCTGCTATATCAGGTGCAGATCCATGGATTGGTTCATAAATTCCGATACATTTATTTTTGCCATCAGGAAGTCCATTTAAACTTGCTGAAGGTAATAAACCAAGACTACCAGGAATAATACTTGCTTCATCGCTTAAAATATCACCAAACAAATTTTCCGTAAGCACGATTCCATTTAGAATGGTAGGACTTTTCACCAAAAACATGGCTGCTGCATCAATATAATGATGTTTAAAAGGAACTTTTGGAAATTCTTTTTCTAACGTTTCAGTTACTACACGACGCCAAAGTCTCGAAGTAGCTAAAACATTAGCTTTATCTAAAGAATGTATTGTTGCAATCGGATTTTTTTCTAATGCGAGATGAGCTGCTAAACGGGTTACTCTTTTTACTTCTTCAACCGAATAAGGAAGAGTATCCCAAGCTATAATAAAAATAAAGTGAAGTTAAAATTATAATATTCCTAAATAACTAATTGAATAACAAAGTAAATCAATCACATGAATAAATACCTTTACCACTTTCATCTTGCTCATGTCTTTCACCAAAATAAATACCACCAACTAACTCACGAACAATAGTAAAATCAGTTCCTTTGACAACACTTTCCTTTAAAGGAGAATAGGCAATCAAAGAATCACTTGCAAATGAACAAGGTCTTAAATTTGCAAATAAATCTAAAGATTTGCGAATATCAAGTAAACCTTGTTCAGGTCTTGGTCCAAGGCCTTTTGATGCATCATTTGAATCAATTTGTTTTGGCCATTGTGGGCCACCAACAGCTCCTAAAAGAATGGCGTCAGCTTCTTTTGCAGCACTTAAAGTAACCTCCGGAAGCGGTTTGCCTAATAAATAATTTTTAAGCACATTTTATAAAATTGGTAGTCTTGAATTAAAAAATAAATAAATTTACCTGTAGCATCAATGGCACAGCCGCCGATTTTTTCTTCTTGTAATTCGATTTCTACACCATTGCATTTTTTTCTAATATTTGAAATAGCTTTTAGAACCTTTACACCTTCATTAACAACTTCTGGCCCACAATTGTCGCCAGGTAGAACCAAAACTTTAATTTTACGTGGTGAAGGCATGTTTTATCAGAAAATAAATGAATTCATTCACATTTATATATCTATATATATTACTTTTATTATTGATGCGACAACATCTAATTGATTATCAATACCTACCCTTTTAAGTGATTTATAATGAGTTTCTATTTTTTTACAAATTAATCAAATATCGAATTTGGAATAGCATATAGTCTAATTCTCGATACCAAAATGCAAGTATCTATCAAAGCTAATAAGAACGAGGGAAAATTTAACCCAGGCTTCGGGTATAGGTTATAAATATTTTTTAAAGTATTCATCACGTGATAAGTACAGTTGCGGTCTAGGATTAGTCTAGGATAATATCATGAACCCGGGTTCATTTTAAGGAAAAAAACAATTTTCACGTCCTGTCACGTGATTCAATTTTTTAAAAGACTTTAAAGTGGATAATTTCAAATATTTTCGATTTTTGTGTTCTATAATATAATACAACGAACAACAGGAAAAACTAATTATGTCATAGTTTATCACCTCCTTTTTCTGAGTTTTACCCCTGTGCCCCTTCTTTATCATGTGATATAAACTTTTTTTTTGTATTTATATGCTGGAGCTATGGAAAATTTAGTTTAAAATGTCCAACTTCCAGAATAACTTTAGAAGCTGCGTTTATTTAAGAAAGAAAATCTTTTTCAACACAGTGGCTTAAAAGCCATTTTTTTAATAATAATCTAGCAAACTTTTTTTTGCATGATACCTTGTTGTATTGTACCGTATAAAATGTCTAGCTCAAATGGAACTCCTCAGTTTACTAACAATTTTGTCCGAGAACCAGCTCGAGATCCTTCAGGAGCAGGAAACAATAAGGTAACACGTGATGCTTCAAGGTCAGCGGTAGCAGAAATAAGAAGGTTGTCTAGTATGTCTGGGAAGAAGGATCTTTCAGACTTACAAATTCCAACCATAACGGAAAATGCTGAAGATGTTACTGGTGAGTTTATCAAAAATTTATTAATATTATTGAGTGAAAGTCAAAAAAATCGATATATCTACGTAATTCGTCATCGATGACATTATTTCGTGGAAAACAGTAATTTAGCTCATGATTTATTATAAACTTGGATAATCGATTCAACGATTCAACCAATTTTGGATCGTGATCCACTTTCTTGGTTAGAATAATCTTACATATCAAAATATTACGTGTAAATACAATTAATAATGTATCATCATCCGAAATTCAATATAGGGTTAAGAGGAAGGATTCGGTTACAAAAAATGGATGAAAGAAAGAATTCACGTAATTGGATGGATCAGCAACGTAAAAACATACAAGCTTATGAATACTTATGTCACATTGGTGAAGCAAAAGAGTAATAATAATTATTATATTTGTTCTTTAATTGATATAAAATAAAAATTTACTAAAATATTTGTTTATGATTAGATGGATTGAAGCTTGTATAGCAGAAGAAATTGATCCAATTGTATTATTGGAAGAAAGTTTAAGAAATGGGATTGTGTTGGCCAAATTGGCTAAATCATTCGAGCCATCAGTTGTTAGGAAAATATTCATGGTCAATTATCAATTTTATTTAGAAATATATTATAATGTTAAAAATTAAAAATTAAAATGATTTTTGTTAAAAATCTCCTTTTTTCTTGTAGTCACCCAAGTTACAATTTCGGCATTCGGATAACATTAATTTCTTTTTTTTAGCAATTCGAAAAGTTGGTTTGCCTAATGTACGTGAATTTGAACTTATTTATTGTAAAGTATAACTTCATAATTTAATTTAATTTTTTTTTTTAATAGATATTTTGGTTTGAATTAACAGATTTATATGAAAAGAAAAATATTCCAAAAGTAATTTACTGTATACACGCTTTAAGGTATTAAATTAAATAAATAAATTATTTATTTGGTTTTATTTGGTTGATCACGTTATTCATATATTTATTACTTTTTATGATAGTCATTTATTATCTCGACGTGGGTTAACTCCGCGTATTCGTAATTTAGTAGGAAAATTAGAATTCACCGGTAAATAGTAAAATTTATTTTATTTTATTTTGTAAGTGATGTATTAAACTATTTCTATATACTAGATGAACAAATTCATACGACGCAAAGAGGATTGGCTGCATCGGGAATTGTAATGCCAAGTTTCGCTAATGTTGGTTTGGCATTGGCAGCAGAACTTAATGAACCAATTTTCGAAACTGGTCAATTACAAGAACCTCAAGAACCTCAAGAACCACAGGAGACTGAAGAAGAACGCAAGTTTTATTTAAATTATTTTTTTTTTTTTTCAGTATTAAGAATCTTCATTTAACATCTATGCATTAATAATATATAGGACAAGCGAGATATTGGGAAGATAATAAGAATGTTCTTATAAAATGTCAATCATATGTTAGAACACATTTAGCACGTAAACAATTATTGGATCGTAGAGCATTATATCAATATTCTATGCCATTTATAATTGCTTTACAATCTCAATGTAGAGGTTGGCTGGTGCGCAGAGAATGGAATCAACGATTGGAAGAACTTGAAAAATTAGAAAGATGGTTAAGAAAGGTAAGAAGATTGAAGTACTATTGTGATGTGAATACCATTGCAGATTTATAATCGATCCAACTTTATTTTAGTTACAAAATTTATGTAGAGGAGCATTGGCTAGACAACGATTTAAAGACAAACGAGATTATTTTCAAAAAAATATCGATAAAGTTATTAAAATTCAAAGTTTATACAGAGCTAAACATGCTGGAGATGCTTATCGTAGTTTAAGTAAATTCAAACAATTTTCATTATACCTTTTACATGCACATTACTGTGTCGGATGAAGAGATTGAATTTAAATTCGCTTCAATTTTGTAGCTATGGGAAGTAATCCCCCAGTTGGAACTATAAAGAATTTTATTCATTTGTTAAATGACAGCGATTTCGATTTCGAAGAAGAAATTGGTAATTTAAGAATTTTATATAAGTTATAGCTTTCTTCTCTAAAATGCGACTAACTTTTTTTTTCTTTTTTTTGATAAACAGAACTTGAAAGACTCAGACAAGCAGTGATTCAAAGAATTCGCGAGAATAATCAATCAGAAGATTTATTAAATCAACTTGATATTAAAATAGCATTACTTGTTAAGAATCGTATAACGTTAGATGAAGTAATAGCAGTAGCGAATTCAAAGAAACGTAATCGAAGACTTTCACAATTGAATTCATCATCAGGACCATTTTCATTAAAATCTTTAGATAAAGGATCGAGAAGACGGCTTGAATTATATCAACAATTATTTTATATATTACAAACACAACCAATGTACTTAGCAAGGTTATTTTTTATATTAAATAAATTAGGATTTCCGGAAAAAACTAAAAGATTAGTTGAAGGTGTTGTACTTACATTATTTGGATATGCACAAAATGCTCGAGAAGAATATTTATTACTTAAATTATTTCAAAAGTCAATGATGGAAGAATTAGAAAATATAGACTCATTACAAGAATTTTTACGTGGAAATTTTATGTTTGTGAAATTAGTGGTACATTATAATCGTGGGGCAAAGGAAAGAAAATTTTTAAGGGAATTACTTGGACCTTTAGTTAAACAAGTAATTGAAGATGAATATATGGATCTAGAATCCGATCCTTTAATTATTTATAAAGCCTTAATTAATGCGGAAGAATCAAAGACCGGTCAACCTTCTAAACGTCCTATTGATATTACCCAACAAGAAGCCTTAAATGATCCCGAAACTAGAACTGTATTTATCCATCATTTACAACGATTAAGAAAAGAAACCGATAGTTTCTTAACCACTATCGCTAATAATCTTGAGAAAATCCCTTTTGGCATAAGATACATCGCAAGGGAATTGAAAAAATCGTTAATGGCTAAATTTAGTAATGAAAGTGAAGATAATGTTATTAAAGTTGTCGGTCATTTAATTTATTATCGTTATTTAAATCCTGCCATCGTGTAAGTGCTTTATTTTTGATTGCATTATATTAATGATAATTAATACACGGACTTTCAAAATTTAAAAATGGTTTTTTTTTTACTTTTGTAAATTTAGCGCCCCTGAAGGATTTGATGTAATCGAAACAATTGTTACTCCAATGCAACGTAAAAATTTAGCAGAAATATCCAAAATGCTTAATCAAATTTCAGTTGGTAAATTATTTACGGAAGAAAACATGTATTTACAACCATTAAATGAATACGTGCAATATGCTTCCGATAAATTCTCAAATTTCTTTAAAGCTGGTAGGTAATAATTAGTAAGATTTTTTATTTCGTCATTCATATATATAATTTAACAAAGTAAGCCTTTTCATTTCTTTATTTATTTAGTTACCGAGATTGAAGATGCGGAAACGTATTTTGGTATCGATGAATTTGATGATCTCACGCGTACAAATAAACCTATAATTTACATTTCACCATATGAAGTATTCTCAATGCATGAACTTCTTTTACAACGCCTAGATTCAATATCTTCACAACCAAATGATTTAATTCGACAGATCCTTCATGATTTAGGTGATGCACCGCCTATTAATGAAAATGACAATTCGGATTCAAATACCAAAGAGATAGCACTTACGTTGGCAAGTAGATTATCATTGGATGCAATGAAAGAACCTGATTCAGAAATCAAACATTTATTTGTTGAAACAAAACGTTATATATTAAGTATAATGAAAGTGCAAAATGGAAAAAATTTATTAGATATTTTGGTTAAACCAGTTACTTTACAAGATGAGCAAGTTTATCAAGAAATTTGTAAAATGGATCAAGAAAAACGTATTAAACACAATCAAAATTTAAATAATAGTGTGAATATTGCTGGAGGATTTAATTCAATTTCAAGATCAAATTCCGTTTCAACCACATTCAGTAGTAGTAGTGGTGATCATTTAAATGATATATCTAAAATGAAATTTTTAGATTTAAAGAAACTTACTTTACAAAATATCTTAAAATTAGAGACTGAAAGAAAAGTTACAAAACAAAATAATTATCAAGATTTTCTTAATAGTATCGCCGTTGATATTAGGAATAAACATAGAAGAAGAATTCAAAGACAAAAAGAATTGAGACAATTAAGACAAACTCTTGTGAATTTAGATGAGAAAAGAACTCATTTAGATGAGCAAATTAAAACTTACAATGACCATATCGATGTTTGTATGCAACAATTATCAACCAAGAAAGGGTGAGCATGGATCTTTTTTTTTTAAAAAAAAATTGGTTTTTTTTTTAACTTTTGTTTAATGAATTATTTCCTTAAATTTTGATATAGCAAAAAATCAAGACTTGTTCTTCCATTTACACGGCAATACTTCCATATAAGGGAACTTCAAAGGTCAGGACGTGTACCGCAATTTGGTTCATTTAAATATACAGCACAAAGATTACATGAAAAGGGTGTATTATTATCAATAGCGGGTTATTCAACATTTGATAAAATTAGTTTTACAATTTCCTCTGATGAAGTTGGTATCTTCAAAATAGAAGCAAGTTATATTGGTGTAAATGTACCTGGTGCTAATATGGAATTAAGACTAGAGGATTTATTACAATGTCAATTTAATAATATTCAAGTAATGAGTTTATTTGATGGTATGGCTAAAGTTAATGTTAATTTATTAATTTTCTTAATTAATAAGAAATTCTTTGTATAAATGATAAAAATAATCCTATTTATTTATAAATAAATTAAATTATTCAACAATTATCCTTTTGATTATAGAAAATAATATGAAAAACAATATTCTTACATTAAACCCACAAATATTTACTACTTAATTACTTTACATAATTTTGAAAACTTATTGTAAAAATTTATCTATTTCAAAATTTTTCTTTTTTCCTTTTTTTTTTTTTTTTTTATTTATTATTATTATTTGAATTATCATATACTTTGTCTTAAGAATAATAACAAACATATTATAATATACAAATAAATTTAATCAACTTCCATTGGTTCGATATTACTAAGAGCCAATGGTTCTTCAATTTCTTTGGTGAGTTCTCGGAATTTATTGTCGAACTCCCGCTACAATAATGTAACAAAAATATATTATTTAAATTACAAATGGTCATAAAAATATTTATATATATGGAATAATATTTACCTCTAACACTTGTGAATCTATGAAAACTTCAGATTCGTCTTCATTAAAGATACGCGCATTTTGGAACATTAAATGAACGTCATCTCGAAACTGGTCAACGGTTTTGTATTTATCTTTCTCGATTCGAGATTTTATGGTATTAATAGCTATTGGTTTCTTAATTACTGTATAATATTCTGGATATTCTTTCCTGCTTGGAAGATCAAGGAAGATTTCCGCCCGTATTCTTGAATTTCTTTTTGAAATATTTGAAACAGAGAGGTAATTAAATTACAAAATCTTTAACGTTAATTCTTTACGAATCACGTTAAAATATACATACTCATCCTTCAAGTTTTCGATAAGATAGAGGCACTCCTGAAAAATAGGCTTCATTTGCACGATTTTTTCCTTGGAATCAATTACTTTCAAACGACGCTTCTAAAACAAATATTCACATGAATTAATTTGGAAAAAATTTTGCTCGAAAAATCTTTCAAATGCACTCCAATTACTTACATTTGGTTTATTTTCTTGACCATCATAATCGTCAACATTATGCCTTCGTTTTTTGCCTTTCTTAGACACCGGTGAAGTCGACTCCTCAAGTAGATCTTTATTAAGAATATCTTCTTCGTCTTCAGGGAATATTTTAATCCTTTTGATCTTTCTTTTAGATCTGGAAGAAGAAAATACCTCCTGGATATGTTCCTTTTCTTCGGCAGTTAGTTCAACCATTTTACCTTTACCTTTTTTGTGAGAATGTTTAATAGATATAGATGGTGTTGCCATAGGATCTGTGTCAACATCTGCATCATTTTCTGCCTTACGCTTTGCGACCCTCCTAGAAGTACGTATAGTTGATGAAATTGAGGAAGTCTCTGCAACAGATTCAGTTGCCTGAGAATCTTCACCTTTTAGAGATGGACGCTTCTTGGAATTTTCTCTGTTCCTAAGAAGCAGTTTTTGCTTTTCAGCAATAACTCTGTTAAACTCATCTTCATCCATATCTATTATCTATTATAGAATACACAAATAAATTTATAATTAATTATTAAAGGAAAATTTTTGAAAATATAAGAGATATTATATAAACATTTACATTAATAAATTGCTCGTCTGTTAAACCATCAGTATAATACACTTCCTTCCTTTGTCTTTGCCCTCTACCATATTCGGTAGCATCATAAGGACGAGTTTCGTATTCTTTTTTATATACTTCGGGCAATTCATTTTCTTGAATTAATCTTGCAGGTAGAGGACCATCTCCAGCAGATTCTTTCCATAGCTTTTCTTCTTCTTTTTGCCTGGTAATGTCAATTTCTTTAAATAGCTCGAGCTCTTTTTCGTTTCGAGAAATAAGTAAATTAATTTCATCGTCATCTACAACTTCTCGCTCTTCATCTTCAGGATCATTAATCTCTGCGTCACCAGTTTCCAAAAGAGAACGTAGGAAGGCTTCACGTTCTTCAGCAGTACTTTTCTGGTCAAATTTCCCAGCTTGGATAACTTTACCATCAATATCAAGCTTATACTGAGCTCTTGCGAGAATAGTCTCTTCAATCGATTTCTGGCAAATTAGTCGCAAGATTCGAACTTCTTTAGTTTGTCCAATTCTATGAGCACGGTCCTGAGCTTGGAGATCCTGATGAGGATTCCAATCCGAGTCAAATATGATGACTGTATCTGCAGTTTGTAAATTCAATCCCAAACCACCGGCTCTTGTACTGAGCAGGAAGATGAAATGAGGTGAATTGGGATCATTGAATTGTTTAAGAAGAGCCGAGCGATCATCTGCTTTTGTACTTCCATCCAATCGAAGAAATTGATACCCACGCCAATTAAGATAATCTTCCATAATAGTCATAATAGTTGTCATTTGAAAGAAAATCAAGACCTGGTTTAGTTTATAGGATAGGAGTTGTAATATAAATAATATAAACGTAAAAAAACACATAAAAACAAAACATTTGACATTGATTTATAATTTATATACCCTGTGCTTGCTCTGGAAAAATTTGGGTAAAACTCGATCCAAAAATTCGAATTTACCCGAAACACGATATAAGAGATTATTATTATCGCTGTGGAGGTTTATATCCTTTTCAACCTCCTCAAATACGAATGGGTGATTGCAAATCTTGCGGAGTTGCATAATGGTATTATTAAGTCCTTTAATACCTGTTTTTCTATAAGAAAGAGAATAAAGTCAATTTTAAAACAATTGAAAAATCAAATAATGAGTTTAAACCACGTACCCCTTCTCGCCTTTATTAACAAAGAGAGCTCCGTGTTTTTTCATTTGATTGTAAAGTTTCACCTGCAGAGCTGACATTTTGACTTTAATAACAGTTTCGATTTTATCAGGAAGTTCGGATTCAACATCCTTTTTCAATCTACGAAGAAGGAAAGGTCGTAAAACCTAAATTGGGTGATTAATATTAATTAGAAATAACTATAAAGTTTTATAATAGTTAGCTGTTTGGATTTAACTTTCATATACCTTATGCAACCGACGGATAATCAATAAAGACTCTTCTTCATTTAATGCGATCTTATCTTGTCCACCTGTGTTTGCGAACGGCGTGTTAAACCATTCATCAAAGCTCTTCACAGAATCAAATATTTTTGGTAAAACAAAGTTTAACAAGGACCACAGTTCTGGCAGATTATTCTAAATATAATGACGACAATTCAAAGATATATAAACGATTAGCAAACATACCAAATAAAATCAAATAAAGAAAACATTACCTGTAATGGCGTCCCAGTCAAGATCAATCGATACCGGAAAGCATAATCATTACTCAAAACAATGGATAACTTAGAGTTGGTGTTCTTCATACGATGCCCTTCATCGATAATAACGTAAAGCCATTTTGGCTTACTCAAGACCGTCTTGTCTTTGATGATAAAATCATACGTCGTCAGACAGACATGGTAATTGCCATGTCTTAAATATCGTTTCTGAATCTCTTTACGCTCAAGAGGTGGGCCTTTGTAAATACATTTATTAACAGAGGGTGCCCATTTATCAAACTCCAAGTTCCAATTAGTTAGAGTTCTATATTTATTATACGATTAAAAAAGTATTTTATGCAATTGAAAATGTATTTGAATTATTTAAGGGTTATTAACTTACGATAATGGCACAATAATCAAGAAAGGACCATGTTGTTGTTTTGTTTCGATGAGGTAAGTGATCAAAGATATTGTCTGAATAGTTTTTCCAAGACCCATTTCATCAGCAAGGATGCCATTGAGACGATTATTATATAATGAAACCATCCATTGAAGACCTTTGAGCTGATATTCCTTCAATGTGCCGCCTCCCAACATGACTGGCTGTTGTACTTCCTCTTGTATACGATGTGCGACAGCATAATAATCAATCTTCTTTCCGTCCTATAATTAAAAGGTATTAATGATATTTTAATTAATTTTATAAGCTAATGAATGAATCAATTTCATAAGATTAATTCCTACCGTCGTTTGAATGATATTATCTTCATCAACAGCATTATCAAGTTTATCCGCGACATTATCATTAGGGCGACTGGAAACACTATTATTTGTCGTTGTCCCAGTAACATTAGAATCGCCCATTTGGCTAGGTATACAAGCATTTTCATCTAGGTTCTTCTCATTATTACTGGTTGTTATAGTATTCTTTATAGTAGTATCGTTGCTAAGAAGATTGGATATTTTCATAGAATTGTCACTAGAGCGAGTAGTATCAACATTGCTTGCCATTTCATTAGTTCCGTTTGCTGTCTGAATACGATTATCACTTGGTATGCTCGAAGAAGCAACATTGGTTAAGAAACTTTGTTTATTATTGGTCAATGCAACTGTATTATTTGGGCGGTTGATATGAACACCATGTCTTAAAGTAGAATCAAAAGGTATAAATTGCTGAAATTCATTCTGCTGAGCAATAACTGCCTTCGCTAATGACTCAAGATAAACATCTGTTTGTCTTAACAGATGTGTAATACGAGTATCTTTTGCCTCGTCGATAAGTTTCAAGTAGGCCTCTTCATCATTATTTTTTAATGCTGTCAAACGTTCCTTGGAATAGCGATCTGTCTTCCTTTGATATTCTTTCTGAAGGTTCACATGGTAATTAATAATGGCACGACCTAATTTTGTTCTCTTATTCTGCTTGTTCTTATTACGGTTTATCATATCCAAACCATGAGCCAAAATATTATCCAGAAAATCTTGTCGCATTAACTTTTGACTACGGTGTAATCTATCAACGCGTTCTTTCTCCGCTAATTGAGTAGCGTACCAAGTTCGCTTTTCTCGTTTTACTGGTCGTCTACGGTTAATCAAAGATGGGATAGATTCCGGTTTCCTATATGTTAGCGAATATTGTTTTACTTCACGTCGAACCTGGTAACATTTTTTTTTTAAAAAAAAAATATATATATATATATTTTTTTATTT